GTTCAGACCCCAGCATTTCACACACCAGGGAGATGAAGGGAGAAGCCAGCGGCAAAGTAGCTAATGGAAAAAAGAAAAAAACCTTACACCCTATAGCAGTGGGTGCAGAACTGAAGACCCCACGGAGACATGGGCTCACAGCACTAACTTGTCTCCTCTTGATGTCAGTAGGGAAGATGACTACATTGCTAGTTTAAAGCAAATTCCCTCTTAATCCAGCATTTGTCAGATTGGCCAAGTCTTTAAACTCATGGATTTGGGTGCCCTAAAATGCTTGTGTGAAAGACTTTCAAGAACTTCCCAATAGGAAAACCACTGTCATGCCCTTGAAACTTGCAGGGGGTAGTAAAGAATAATAAGTTGTTGCTAGCTGAACCCATTCATTACTTTGAAATCCCACACTGAGACCTATGTATTTTGCAAGTTTGTCCTAGCATATACTCAAAGGCACAATAGGAAGAAGAAAAGAGTGTTCTTCAGTGTTCTCTAATATACAAAGCACACCTCTCTGTGTTGGCAGCCTGCTCCATTAAGTTAAGCTATAGTATGTGGGAGGGAGCAAATAGTAGACTGAGACAAAACCTGCTGAGATTAGGATTCTGCCTCCCTGGAAGACAGTTCCAGCAGAGGATAGAACTTTTTCCCAGACCTACCTGGGAAATTGCTTTCCAGCCCAGTAAAAAGCCAAGTCTCCTCTTCCCCCCCACAAAAGTACCCCAACACACACACACACACACACACACACACACACACATTTTCCTCATAATGCAGGAAGAACAAGATGGATACTTTTCAAAATGTTTTTTAATTAAAACCAAAAAAAGGAGCACACACCAGAGCTTGACATGGGCTAGGCAAACTGCTGGTCATCAGGACGTTGAACTGGCATGAGGAAGGCTGTGGTTCTGCATAACTCAGGAGCACTGGCACGGACACTGGGACTCCCGGGAAAGTACTCTGCCTGCCAGGCTACTGCTGCTTTGTGCCGATCAGATCTCTAGTGTGATGATAGGAAACTTCATCCTGGAGCCCAGACTCTTTTTCCAACAGACAGAAGTCCTGGAGATCGGGGAATAGAGAATTTCAATGAATCTGCATTTCCCAAGCACTTCTGGAGAGGATTCCTAGTCAGTTCTCCTGCCTCCCCTGGCAGGTCACACAGGTTTAAATGGTGATTCATCTTTGGCAATAGCCACACTGGTACAAGACAGTTCTTCTGCTGAAGTCAATACATGTCCTTCCCAGGACCATAACTGCAGCTGCACCAGGACTCATGGTCACTAGCCAATTGTGCTTTAAAGTTAAATCCTCATCCACTCCATCTAGCCACCAACTTCTGAGCACTGCTTCAGGCTCATGTAAGTATTCACCAGTAAACTCAGGTAAATGTGAACATCTTTGCTACAGCAATGGGGTGAAGTTTTCAAATACGCCCAAGAGATGGAGGGGCCAAAGTTTTGCTCTAAGACACGACTTGAAGACTAGATCAGGTATCAAAAACTCTCTGACATCTAATAAAGCAGTTTCTAAAGCTGCTGGTGTGTTGCTCCACCAGCCCGGTTTCTTTATGAGAAAGGCTGGGCTAAAAAAGTGACACATTTTTTATACACCATTGTTATCTGTTCAAATTTACTAGATATGTGCCTCATTTGTCTGACAAATATTTAAAAAATACTTCAACCTGCTCTAATAATCACATTTTAAAACATGCATCAAGTTTGGATCTGAACAGCGTCTCTGGGATAATCAGTAAGCCCAAATTGCTGATTTAAGGCCTAAGTATCAGTCACTGGCCAGCCAGCCACAAAAAGCCACTCTATCCTTGAACTCTTGGAATTATTTTTGGCTCAGACTAACCCTTGTTCCCATACGTCTTATCCTACACACAAAAGGAAAGTGTATGTGTTCTTCAAGGCTACCGTTGCACCACAAATTTACATACAAACACAACTTCTGCAAAGGTGAGACCAAAGTAAGATCTCATATATCCCTAGCTAAGTCAGGAAGTCCACAGGAGTCAAGGGAATGGTGACTACCATAAAGGATCAGGCCTACCACATGCAGTACAGAAGCAAAGTGGCTCCTTTGCTCGAGGTCTGGCTGATGCACTTTACACACACCACTGCTTTAGCATCACAGCCTTATCTAAGGCTAAACCTGTTCCAACAACATGCAATACATATTAATGCAATATGCACTGCAACACACAATACACACCCAAAGAAATATGCCAAAGCAAGAATCGGACTTCTCACACATAGCAGGGCTAACAAGGAAGAGCCTTTTACAAAAGACAATCAAGAAATCACCTGACACCATGAGACCCGGGGGGCCTCGAGCAATCTGCAATACCGAGACCTAATAACAGATGCAAATTCGTGAAAGAAACACAAACAGTGGGACTGAGGTAATGGCAGAGATTTCATTAGTGCAATTAACATTTATAATGGTATGTTCTTTAATAGAATTTAAATAAGGCTTTGAATAATTACACACACTAAAACTAACATTCCATAACCTTATTCCGCATGGAAAAGCAGCAGAAACAACCCCCTGGACTGTACAAGGTCCAGTTATGAACAATTACATTCAAAAAGTAGATCAAAACAGAAACAACTTTTTCCCTCAAAAGCTGCACCATCATCTTTAAAGTCAACTTTCTCCCCTAGTGTGAGAAGTATGAAGAACAGATGAACTGGGCTTCAGCCCAGTAGATTTGGCCTCGTCAAATTATCAGCAGTGCTTTCCAACCCAGAGTCTCTCCTCCTTTCTTTAGGGTGATGGAAGCTCATGGAAAAAAAGGAGTGAATTTCCAAAGCAACGGAAGGCGAGTTGTCCCTTCCCCAGGTCCAACAATGTACATAAATTATGGAAGCTTGAATAACAAATCTGCATTACGCTGTGGCACGTGTTTGCGGTGCGTGTTCTCCTTTAGAAGCTACTCACGGACAATGGGGTTGGGTGGGTGAAAGAAAACAAAGCAGCATATGAAATAGTAACATATTGTTTCAAAATCTGCACCGCCCTGCAGAACCAGGAATTATAATTTATTCAGATTGTTCTCAGCAGTTCCAATCTACACTGGATATGTAAAAAACAAGAGACTAAGTCATCAAGGAAAACCAAACGAAAAGAAAAACCTGCACACCGCAAGAGTTTTTAAAAACAAAACAGAAGAAAAAACTCCCAAGAAACACTGACGAAAGCTCAGAAAAATTTATCATCAATTCTGAAGTGAGGCCTTGTGACATCATCTGGGTTAATGAAGACGGAGATGGACTTCCCGGGGTTCTCAGTCACTAGCTGTTGCAGCTTTTTGGCTAATCGGTCGTCAGGCTGATTGGTGTCCCCCCCATCCGACTGCGGGGAGGGGATGCTGGTGGTGCTGCCCCGCCGCTGGAGCTCCAGCGTTAGCCGGTTGGCCGCCTTGACGTGCTCGATGGCAGTCCGAAGGTGCTCGGCGGGGTCGGAGCGGACCGAGGACAGCTTCCGCGCGTGCAGCATGACCGTCTCTTCAGACAGGTGCTCCAGCATATTGCACTGGGGGATGAAATAGTTAGGGCACATCTTGTTGACCAAGCAGTGTTGGAGATCGTCAATTAGACCCAGGAGGAAATGGGCTGCGTAATCCTCCTGGGCCAAGTAGTTGGCTGGTAACCTGTCACAAGCCCACAGCATCATGCTCCTCAAGTGATATGGACTAATGGCTTTAGGGCGGGACAGCAGTTTGATGATGATAGCTTTGCAGGCCTGATAGGCTTGCATGAGACTGCTGGAGATGCACTTTTTCAGCTGCACTTCGCTTCTGGCAAACGACAACCTCCATTCGTTGTCTTTCTTCCCCTTGTAGGAACATGCAGGCACTAAATAAAACCCACTTATGACTTCCTCCTCTGTGATCTTCCCATCCCAAAAGTGGTTCTCCATCAGCCAGCTCTGGGCCACTGCTGGCCAGCCTTTGAAGGATACTACAGGGACGATGTCGTACAGCATGCGGCTGCTGCCCACTCCCAAAATGATGGATATGATAGTCCCATTCTTTTCTACCTTTTCCACCTTTGGCATCCCTCGCTGGGGCTTCTTCTGGATCTCAGAGAGGACAATGCTAATGGAGTCATAGAACCAGTCTGCGACTTTTGTTGGAGAGAAGAAATAATTGGTAGCTCCATTGATATGGTCCACGATCGTGCAGCAGTCCTTCCATTTGCTGATAGTTCCTTCATCAAACAGACGCAGGCTCAGCCAGGAGTGGCACAGCGCCGAGTGGCGCATGTCCAGCGTGACTGGCTGGTTGCGGTCATGCAGCTTCAGCGCAGGCACAAGCAGAGTAAAGTCCATGTCATAGTCTGTGCCTCGTGCATAAACGTTCAGCTCATCAAGATCAATGTCGACTACACCTTCCCGCACACCGCCTGAAAGCAGCAGGTACTCGTTGGCTACAGGCAGCTTCTGGTCGAGCTTCTGAACCATGCCTGCAAAAGAGAGAAAGAGAAGTTCTTTCAAAAGAAGGCAAATAGACCTGGGATACAGGTTTAAAACCCATCCCATAGCCAGCATGAACAAAAGCAAGCAGAGGTATCCGTCACTGTTCATGTGACACAAGCGTACATCAGGCCAAGCACTCAGCCAGCCTTTAGTTCTGCCTGAGTCTGGGCAGGACCTTCCCTCCTCTCCTGGGAATGGGTGAAGTCCAGCCTAAACATCACACTGGGAGCAATGGAAAAAAGCAGAAGCCGCTGGTAAAACACAGCAAAACTACTTCTAAGACTAAATTTCACTTCTTAAACACCTTCTAAACCAGTTTTTCACCATATTGTTGCTCATTTCCATGGTATCCAAATATTTCCACAGCACTTGAAAAACAAAAGGGAATGCTGACTGACTTGCTGTTCTTATTTTCTCTGTGGCGTAAGAAAAAAGCTGGACCCATATCAGGGGGTTGGTCTGTGCGTGAGTGAAAGAACAGCTACAAATGTTAGTTCAAGCAGGTCTGATTTTACAATTTGCTTTAGAGTTACTGATGAACAAGGCAACACGAGCAAAGACAATACGTTCTCCTCTTATGGGGAAATGGAGACAGGTTAAACCATCAGGCAATCACAGAAGCCAGCTCCAAAAATTGTTCTTCAAGCTGTAGCAATGGTATCACACCACAAAATATCTAATCAGCTCTTCAGAGCCTAGACATGAAGACAGATGTCTGTTTTCATTACCCAAACCAGACACTCCCCTTCCCCTGCACTGCCCACACCAGTTGCACAAGGCCAGTGTTTCACTGTGTATTCCACATATACAACTATACCCTACTCACAGGATGCCAACAGCATACTGAGCAGAGACTCCACAGAGCAGCTCAGATATTAGCTCCACATTCGATGATCAAACGAAACTTGGAATCGAGCTCTACACTTTGACTGCTCTGTAGTCTGCTTCTATCCAGGCTGTTTCACTCCTGGCTGAATTTAACCTCTTATGGTTAAATGCCCTGGATTTCTTCCCAGCCTCAGTTCAGACAACACATCTACAGCAAGAGGGATCTAAGACCAGTGACTCTGAATGGAGATGCTGAATCTCTTAGCACTGCAAAAGGGATATATCATTATTTCTCACAAGCATAAATGTACTAGTTTTTTTGTTGGCACACATTACTTCAGGTTCTGAAAGGCACTATAGCTTCTTTTGATTCTATCAAGAGTGGTCAAATGGAGACCTCTCATTATGAGGAAGCCAGTCTTAGAGAGACA